GTGTTGATCTTACCTAACCATCTTTTTCCTCCATTTAACCAGTCCCACCTCATTCCACGTCGTTAAGTTAGCGACAATCTTTTAATATATCACATCTACACTCATTTCGTGCCTAGACACAAGAAGTTCCAACTCATTTATGAGGTCAAATGAAAAAACATGGGATTATTTTTAAAAGAGCAGCTTGCTACAATCCATAAAAAATTGCTACAATATTCCTTTGTAGTCTATTTTCATTCAAAGGCTGGAGTAAACAAACATAAAAAATAATAGACATTTTACTCAGCTAATGTCACATGGGTCACTAGTAAGAAGTATGTACAAGTCATCACAGCAAAAATGTCAAAACAAGACAATTGTTTCCAATGCAATACTTGTACTGAATAATACTTAATATCTAGAGTAGGAAAGAAAGAAAATGACAGGCATTCAAAATCTAACCTGGCACAAAGACAGACTGATGTTGTCAAACATCTGTTCCTTCAATTCAACTATTATTTCCAGTTGCAAAACCTCCAAAGATGACTAAGTGAATCAGCAGTGATTTGTTTTAGCTAAACAACTCCATGCTTTTATTAGAGTCTATTCAACCCGTCCACTGCAAATAAACAAGCATAAATGACTTGAATAAGGATCCAAGATATTTTTCAGTAAGTTGAGAACTGAGATAAACCAAAAGTCAATACCTGAAAGTACTGTGAAAGGTCTAGTTTTGTCCTCTACAGGAGTGCAAACCAAAAGTAACTCCGTAGGTCAGCACCATAACACATTCACTTTCTTTTGAGATCAGACTTCACTCTTATGAACTATTAAAAGGGGATGAATACTAATATCTTATTAAATCTCAAGCATATGTGGAGCCTCTTTATGCTTCAGTGTCCCAGTCTTTCAACAATCCTATTATTTTTTGAATGAAAAAAGGCAGAAGAGATAGAATACTTCTGAAAAACAGTTTATCCTCGATATATGCTAATGCCACGGCTGTCACTGAGGTGAAAATGCGGTTAAAAGGCTCATTTTACTTTAAACATACTCTTGAAAAAATTAATGCTTGAAAACTCTGACACTAAAAAAGCTCCTTTTGAAATTTGAAGAGCATGGGTAAAGATTACATACTTCAGACCTCTGTATATTCTATATAACTTCCACCATTACATTCAAGTTTAAAACAAGTGTTTGTTTTGGCTTGCTATTCCTGCTTTAAAAGTTGTTTTTACAAAGATACTATTGGATCATGTGCAATATTCTCCCTCAGCTCAGTGTAAGGTCTCCTCTTTACTGACAACCATCATACAGGACTGCACATACAATGTGCAGTCCAGTAAAATGTGTGTTGGACACTTCACTTCCTTCAAACACATATAAAGTGAGACTTAGTGTCTGGACACCAAAAATAAAAAGCTGGCTTTCCAAATCAGTGTCTTCAAAATAAATAATAATTTTCTTTGTCAGAAAAGTTTTCATAAGCCTGTAATTGGCTCAGTTGGTTGGAGCATGGGGCTAATAACACCAAGATTGTGGATTCAGTCCCTGTAGGGGCCATTCACTTAAGAGGTGGACTTGATCCTTGTGAGTCCCTTCCAACTCAGAATATTCTGTGAAATTTCTGTGAAATATTGTTTACATCAATTCAGTCTGTTTCTATTAGGGTTTAAATCAGAAACTTTAGATTAGCACTTACCCATTTTTACTAAATACCCGTATCCATGCTTGTATGTTTGGTCCCAGAATACACAAGCACTGTAAAGTAGTAAAGGTAGACAGGAGAACTGCAAACAAAAATGTCTCAGTAACTGACCTACGAAGAAAGAATATTACAAAATTAAGTGAGGTAGGTTATTAATTTCCTAAGAGTTCCAAGATTTAGGAAAAAAAACCCAAAACCTCTAAGTCAACTTGTGAAAGTACAAGTGCTTTCTTAACCTCATGTAGAAGAATAAAATATTTTCTTCTTGCTTTGTAGAATAGTAAAGAAAATTGGAGAGAGTTCTGCTGTTATTTCAAGACTGAAATGCAGTAATTATTTTAAATGCCCAATATCTGTAACATTTTTGAAATACCACAGATGTATCTCATATATAGCATTAGTTCTAACTTGAAGTATACTTGCACATTTACTTAATTATTCCATTTATTTTTCTAGTTTGGTGTTGTGAAAGTAGCCATGAAATGAAACTACATGATGCTATTAGTAGTCAGTAATTAGTGTATCTCTCAAAAATCAGATTGCTTCATACTTCTACTTTTTTCTTTTTATAAAACTTTTCTAAAAGTTAAAATACTAATGTCAAAAGGACAAAAGACATGCAAGATGTGTGATTTAGAATCTCATGGGGAAAATGACTAAATGAAACTCTGAAAAATGTGCGTGCCTGTATGTTTAAGGTAAACATTGAAGTAAAAAAAGTTGTTTGTAAACAAGATTTCTCAAAATAAAACTTGTAAGAGCTAGCTTCTAAGAAAACAAACAAGCAAACAAAAAACCCACAACAACAAAACTAAATTAAACCAACCAACCAAAACCCAAGCAGCCACCCTTCTTCCCCCAGCCAGGAGCTTTATCCTTTAACTTTCAGTGTACCAGAAAACATACAAGTACTTATACCAATATCTGCAAGGAGAACTGGCCCTTAGAATGTTTAGAGAAAGAGAGGGTCTTCTGACTTACTCTATGAGAGGTGCTCCATAAAGAACAATAATCGCATGAAACAGTATGCAAGACATGAAAAAGTATATACAGCATTTTAGAAATCTGGATATCTAAAAAAGAGCAATAAAATATCAGAATAACGTTTCAAAGAAGAACATAAGTAACATAAGTAACACAGTCTACATCTTATCAAGAGCACAGTACTCTAATTGCTTCTTTAATTTCAGCTACAACACAGTATAATAGCATGGCATATTTAAAATTTTTTCCATATGTTTAAATAATTAAAAATGATCACACTCCATCTAAAACTTTTTTCATGCAACCCTTTAGAATAAGGCAAAAGTACAAAAAATATAACCAGAAATGACAGGATAAACAGAAATAATTTTATTGGATATTCTTACATTTCTGTTTTACATCTGACTGTCATGTCCATTCGTTAAAAGGCAACTCTCACAGAAAGTGAAAAAATATTTAAAAGCAAGAAAAGATGCAATATAAAAAAATATGCAACATTCAGAATCAAAATGGCATTAAATAAAGAACACTACACTTTGAACTTGGCATCTTAAATTCCAAATACATTTGGGAAATATCCAGACTTTCTATAAATCTGCAAAACACATAACTTTCTATGAACAACAGTTTCTGAGTACTCAGTATATCATACAGAAGCATACACACTTGATAAATAGTTCTGATTAGGTCTGTTCTGATCAGGTCACCAGTGCAATTCCATAATTTCCCTTTAACTCTTTCTTTTTTGTATATTTACTCCTTATGCTAGTCTAAGACAAAACCTCCCCTAGAACATGAAGCATGCTTCATTTTTATATCACCGATTGTTAAAATACGTGTTTTCCGTAATGGTTTTGTGCATTTCACATCCTCCTCAGCCAGCAAAACTACACAGAAGCTTTGCATACAAAGATACTGCTTTCTGAGATGCTTGCTTAAATGTTTAAGAAACACCACATCAGAGCACTACATCTTGTCTGACTCAGCAAGTCAGGTGTGAGACTATGCACCTGACTTCAAAACTCTGATCGCTGTATTCCCCCACTCCTGAGCAAGTTGTGTGCTGCTCCAGATTCCTGACGTTCAAACTTACTTCACTGGGATTTGTACCTTTAACGTTCCCTGTTGCAAACTGTGATTACAGATAATGTCTCCCAAATTTAGATTTTTCTGTATGAAATTTTCATCATTCAAGGAAATGTAGCCATTTTAACATTTTTCCACGTAACTTTTTTTAAATTGGCCAACTTTGTTTAAATTGTAATGAGCTACTGTCTCTTTTATGTCTCAGATTCTAAAAAGTATTTTTTCTTCCTTTAAAGTCATGACAAACTTACAACTACACACAAGAAGCGTGTGATGACATGTCTTTTTGGCACACCCACTAATCAAGAAGAGTAGCGAGGCCTGGACTAGGAAAGGAGTTCTGTGCCCGTTCAATTTTGTCACATTTTGCCACCATGCAAATTGTTGGGACTACAAACAGCAATGCACTGACAGGAATAAGGAAAGCACAGACTCACTCACCCAAACAGGTTATGAACAGATGATAGAAAAAGTTTAACATAATGAAAATATTGAAAAAGTCGTTTCAAAAAGTGCTACACCCAGCTCATTCATGGAAAATGAGAATTCACCACCAAAAAGTGTCTTTTCTCACTGGATTATCTCAGAGAATTTGATTCCCCTCTGTATTGTCTTGTAGCAACTTAAGAATAAAAACAAATCTTACCTTTTGAGCAAACGAACTTCTCTTAGGAGACTGACTTGGTTTAAGGACTAAGTGCAAGCTTACATTAAGGGCACCGACACAGACAGAACAAACACACAGCCACGTGAGGTGCGTTCCCAGCACCGTGAATCCCTCCAGGAAGAAAGACGGAACAACCGCCGTCAGGACAATCGACAGCGCACAGAGGAGGTTGGCAGCCAGGAGCCTCCTGATTTCTGCCTCTTTCATCGTGTTCCCCGGGAAGGGACCACCCGCAGGACACCGAGTTAACCCGCTACGGAAAGGCGGCGGCAGCGCCACAGGGCAACATCTTTCCTAGTCGCGATACACCAGGCAGAGCCCTGAGCCTGGCTTTGGGGTCAGAAGAACGTCAGTCACTTTAAAAAAATCAAGGGCAGCCCCTGGGAGCGGCAGCCCCAGGCCCTGAGGGGTGAGGGGTGGTGGCGCCGTCGCCGCCTTTCCGACCGGGATCGCCCGGGGCCGCCCGGCAGCGGAAGGCGGCGGGACCCGACGCCAGATCCGGGGCGGTGTCGGAAGCGGCGGCTTGTTGTGGTGGGGCAGAGATGGTGTGCGAGAAGTGTGAGTGCGGGGGACGGGGGGTGGCAGAGATGGTGTGCGAGAAGTGTGAGTGCGGGGGACGGGGGGTGCGCGGGGTTTTGCCCTGCCCTGCCTTTCCTTGCCTTTCCTTTCCTTGCCTTTCCTTTCCTTTCCTGCGGGGGTCCCGGCCGGCCCCCGAGCGGAGCAGCAGCTGCGGGTCCCGGGTTGTTCGGGTTGGACTCTGGGCGGCGGCGGTTCCGGGAAGGGCCCTGTGTGAGCTGTCATTCCACGGGCAGTGCCTGTGGCACGTATTAGCGCAGCATAGTTTAGATGATTCTGGTCTGTATCAGGAATAGTGTAGCCAGCAGGACCAGGGAGGTGATCGTCCGTCTGTACTCGGCACTGGTGAGGCCGCACCTCGAGTGCTGTGTCCAGTTCTGGGCCTCTCAGTTCAGGAGGGATATTGAGGCGCTGGAGTGGGCCCAAAGAAGAGCCACGAAGGTGATGAAGGGTCTGGAGCACAAGTCCTACGAGGAGCGGCTGAGGGAGCTGGGATTTTTTAGCCTGGGGCAAAGGAGGCTCAGGGGAGACCTCATCACTCTACAGCTACCTGAAAGGAGGGTGTAGCCAGGTGGGGGTCAGCCTTTTCTACCAGGCGACTAGTGACAGAACAAGAGGACATAATATTAATCTGCGCCAGGGGAGGTTTAGGTTGGATGTTAGGAAGAATATCTTCACAGGAAAGGTGATTAGACATTGGAATGGGCCACCTAGGATGTGATGGAGTCACTGTCACTGGAGGTGTTTTAGGGAAGACAGGACATGACACATAGTGCCATGGTCTGGTTGACAGGGTGGTATTAGGTCATAGGTTGGACTCCATGATCTCAGAAGTCTCTTCCAGCCCAATTGATTCTGTGATTCTGAATTTTTTTTTGCTTTGTAATATCTCCTTACATAGGCGAGAAGAAGCTTGGTACAGTGATCACTCCCGACACATGGAAAGATGGTGCAAGAAACACTACAGGTAACCCCGGGGAGGTTTAACACTTGTTTTTGAGGTATTATAAAACCAGTCAGGCACCTGAGCTATCTTATCATATTAAGGCTAAAATGTTACATTACTAATCAGATTAAATCTTAACTCACATAGTTTCCCTCCCATGCTGATTCAATGCATTGGCAATTTATTACCTGGAACTCTTCAGTATTGAATTTGTCTGTTTGGGTTTTTTTTCTGTATGGAATGGTGATAGACAGAGTATTTAAACAGAGTATAAAAGTGTTCCATTGTCCTGCTCCCTAGTGCTATGCTGTATGTTTTATCTCTGTGACTTGTTTTGCACAAGTGTAAAAGCTGTAAACTAAGCTTTTTAAAGTATGCTTGGAACTGGGAAATTAATTCATTTATGGTTTTATTCTTTCTGTAGAAAGCGGTGGCCGCAAATTAAATGAAAACAAGGCATTGACCTCAAAGAAGGCAAGGTTAGTATTTAATACTGATTTTGGCTACAAACATCCATTAACAAACTAACTGAGGCCTGTTTCCTGCACATCTGGGCAACTACTCAAAACTTGTCCAAAATACACTTTAAAAAACCCCAGTTGTGGGGATTGTGATATTTTATTAGTTGGTAAAAATATGTCAATATATATTTCATGAGGGCTTTCTGCTCAGTCATAGAGTGTGGATGAATATTTTACTGCGGTTCTCACTGGAATTGCTGGAGTTTGATGCTTTTGTAGGAGAGAAGCTGGGAAGGCTTATTTTCTGTGCTAGATTGCTGGTATAATCTCTTGAGCATTTCCTTAGGCTCCAAGGGACTTCCTATTGTGCAAGGGAGCAAGATGCTGCTGGAAGGTGTTTAAGTTCAAAGTCATGTGGTATTTTAATAAAAATACACATTTTTAATTCTGCTTTTGTTAAGTTTATGTCTGTAATGCAAGAAATTTCTCTTAGTAGGGAAAGTGGGAGCTTTTCTGCATACTCTGTGCAGCCTATTACAATTAATCCTTGTATAACGTTTTTCCAAATTAAAGGTTTTGCTGGAGTTTCTGACTATGTCCTCTGGCTTAAACTTTTTAGGATGAGGCAGAAGAAACACTTAATTTCAAGGTGTATAAATCAAATACTTTTCTTTTTTTTCCCAGATTTGATCCTTATGGAAAGAACAAGTTTGCAATATGTCGGATCTGTAAGAGTTCTGTCCATCAGCCAGGGTCTCACTATTGTCAAGGATGTGCCTATAAAAAGGGTGAGTTTCACTGAGTACCAAAATACCCCAGTTTGGTTAGAAACTAGGTAGGAAGGGGAACACTTGAATTTGTTTTGCCTTACAAACAGAAGGCTAAAATGAGATTATCAGATTTAATTGCTGTCTTTGACTACTAATAGGAAGGCACAGAGGACACAAAGACTCTTCTGAGGTGCACAGTAACAGAATGAAAAACAATGTACACAGGTTAGAATGTGGAAACTCCTAATTACATACAAGGAAAGCAATTTTTCAGTGTGAGAGTGATCAAATACTGTACCAACAGGCACCACCAGAGGTTGTGGAATCTCTACAAGGAGGTATATTCAGAGGATGACTTGAGCCAACCTCATCCAAATTGGTTGTGTTTTGAGTGGGGCAGGACTAAAGACTGCTGGAGATTCCTTTCAACCTGTGTAATTCTGTGATTCTGATTCTTCTAAAATGTTTCTGGTATCAGAACCAGTAGATTTGAAGAATAACTCTAAGCTTAATCTTGGCAGTTGCATAGGAAACTGTCATCTAGCAAGTTTGATTTTTCTCAGGTTAAAAAAAATTAGATTTTGTAAAACTCATTTGATTGTTGCAGTCCCTTTTCTGTTCCCTTCTCCCCTCTCCCCTTTTTATAATAACTGAATCTAAAACTCTAAATAGTGTTCTCAAAAAAAAAAACCCCAAACAAAACAACAAACAAATCCCAAACCGAAAACCCAAACAAAAACTACCCCTAAACCAGAAACAAAACACTCCACACTCATCCACCTCCCAAAAAAAACTCCCACAGAACAACCAACTTTTAATCTTGGTAAAGCAGTGGGCTAGTTTAAAAAGTAGAATACCTAGGGAATAAAAGAGAAAAAAGGAAATTTCTGTATTTTCTTCGCCCTGCTACTTTCTGTCCATCTCAGGCCTTGGTTTGGCTACAGAACTTAAAAGGATTAACAGTACACCAATTTTACCTGTTTGCTGGATGTGAGCCTTTCCTGGCTCTTCCAGAATTCCAGCAAATTACAGAGGCTTCGGGCAGTGTTGTGAATCATAATGCTCTCAAAATAGAGCTTACTTTCTTGAGTGGCAGTATTACACATATTACACTTTCTTGAGTGGCAGTATTACACATATGCTGCAACTACTGATATGTATTAGAAGTCATAATATGACTTCTAATTTTGCAGTATCTTTTGAGAAAATGCACGGAATGTCAATAAGAGCTCATTTGAACAATTTTTAAAAAAATAATCTTTACCAAAACATAGCAAATGTGTTTTTGAAGAAGACTTTAATAATTTTAAAATAATTTACACACCTTTTGTGTGCTTATAGGCATCTGCTCAATGTGTGGCAAGAAGGTCTTGGATACAAAGAACTACAAGCAAACTTCAGTCTAATTGTATCGAGTAGTCTTTTTATGAACTTTAACTTCTGTGTCCTTGTACAGTAACTTTTCCCTAAAATAATTTGTGAATAATACTTTTTGGAAGATAATGCAGTTACTTGGAATGAGATGATAGGTAAAGACAGCCTGATGGTTTGCCTAAGAATGTACATAATATCTGATTCTTGTTTTAGCATTAATGTTAGCTGATATTGAAAGCTAATGGTTTGCAGCAACTGATAAAGTTCAAAGGGAATGAGAAGATCCTGGTAGATAGGTTGAAACTATGTTACCATCATAAGAGAGATTTTTGAGATTAACACTTTTATTCTTTTGGCCTATCACTAGTCTTCTGCTTGTTTCATAGTTATATTTTATAGATGTATAAAATATGAGCTTGTTATCACCTCATTAAAATATCTTCATTCAGTTTTATACCTATAAGTTTTTATAACTACTCTCAGCCCAAACTATTATGTCCATGCTCTTCAGATCTTAATGCAATTGTCCTGTTGAATTTTGTTTCTGCCTACAGTACAGTTGGTTATATCACAAACTGTTAAACTGCTGAAGTCTACTGAGTTGCCCTGCCAGTTCTTTCTTTGTCATTGTTGTGGTTTAGCTCCAGCCAGCAACCACGCCCATGGAACCACTCTCTCCCCCACCAGCAGGACTGGGGAGAGAGTTGGAAGGATAAAAGCTAGAAAACTCATGGGATAAGGACAGTTTAATAGGGAAAGCAAAAGGCACGCACACAAGCGAAGCAAAACAAGGAATTCATTCACTACTTCCCATGGGTAGGCAGGTGTTCAGCCATCTCCAGGAGACCAGGGCCCCATCACGTGTAACAGTTACTTGGGAAGACAAAACACCATCACTCCAAACATCCCACACTTTACATACTGAGCGTGATGTCATAGGGTCTGGAATATCCCTTTGGTCAGCTGGGGTCAGCTGGCCCAGTTGTGTCTCCTCCCAACCTCCCATGCACCCCCAGTCTCCTTGCAGGCAGGAAAGGCCTTGGCTCTGTATAAGCCCTGCTCAGCAATAACAGAAACATCTTTATGTTTTCAACCCTGTGATCAGCACAGATCCAAAACACAGCCCCATTCCAGCCACTGCAAAGAAAACTAACTCTACCCCAGCCAAACCCAGCACAGGCAGATCATCTATCCCCTCATTAGCCTCCAGGGAGGCTTTATGTGTGGCATCTGGTGGCCCAAGGCAATAAAATAATGAGCATCAATTTCTAAGTGTCTCAGTCTCATCATTTCCTAATTTGGCCTGGCTTTTAGATACCTAGTTTGAAACTTACCCTTGAATTTGATGATATAACTGCTTATATACGTGTCAAATTTGAAAGCTGAAAGCAGGCTGCCTTGTCTTCAGCACTGGTTTGATACAAGACTTGAAGTGAGCATCTCTGAGCATGAGAGGCTACATACAATTCTGCAGTTCTCTTGTCCTTTGCTTAGTTTCTACACAAGAAAGCAAGTTCTGTTATGGAGCATAGTAAGTGTTCACTTTGCATGCATTTTAAGGGGAAAGAATGGCACTCCTTAATTCATGGTGCCGTTTCAACTAGACCTATTTAAGTGTTTACTCCTCCCAGCAACCTTCTCTTGGCAGTCTCGTGCTTTTGCAATTTCCTTTCAACTCTTAACAGAAAAACTATCAATGGGAATTTCCCTGTGAATATGTTTTAGGTTTCCTTTTGTTCTCATATTTTTACTGAGAAAACTGCATGACTACTGGATACTGAAAAATTGCTGTTCTTTCTACGGGACCAAAAGAAGAATGTTGTGCATATAGTTAAACCACCCTGTAGTTGCACTGTGAGTAGCCCTCTAAAGGGGGGTGTTTAACATTTCCTATCACCCTTAATTATGCATTATTAAGCATTTGTCACCTACATTTCTTCCAAATGTGTTAGCTTCCTGCAGTTGCTACAGGGGTCATTCTTTTCAGCATTTTATATTTACTAAGAAGCTTTGTCAGGATAGTGGAGTTGGCTGAGTTTTCCAAAAGAAGAGAGGAATGCTGCTGCTTTTCACTTAAAAAGCTTCATTTATTGCAACAATTGAATGGAGGTACGTGGATTAGCTAGCTGGTGATATCTTGGTGCTGGCCACTTGTTTCCAAACACATCAAGGAATTCCAATATTTGTGTATATCTCTATGACACATCCTTTGTATGGGGGAAAAGAAAATGTCTATAATTGGCTTCGAGCTTTGCAGCAAGTGCTTGTAAGGAGTGTATGACAATTGCAGGTGGCAGATTCTCCGATATTCTCTGAATTCTTCACCCTTTATGGGTGTGTGCTGTAGAATTGACTGATTTTTGCTATTCTGTGAATAAAACTTCTTTTCTTGTCTTCTTGAAACTGGCCAGTATCTCTACTTCAAAAGCATGACATTGTAATTCTTTAATACATGGTATGAATTGAATGTTTATTGCACTCTGTAAATATTGGCACTGAATGAACTCTTACCTCATTTTGTAACTGATTTAAGAAAAACAGGGATTTAAATAATATACTTTGTTTATAATTATTTTGTGAATCCAGCTTTTAAGCGCCTGTACTCTATTACTGGGCAGCTGCTTTTGCATGTTAGAATGTATTTTTGTTGTAAAAGGAGGATGGGGTTTGTTTTGGTGGGCTTTTTTTTTAATGGTGGGTACAAAGAGTGTTTTGTTTTTCTAGGGATTTGTACATGCTCAGGATCTTCCATCTGTAGCCCTCAAAGCTTCTTAGCCTTGTGAGAGTTTCAGTTCCTGAGATCTATAAAATGTGCTGATGTAACAGTCAATTTTCAGAGAAACTCATTTTCCAAGCATTGCTTTGGAGTCTCATTGCTTTAAATTTAAATCACAAGCCATCTCCTGAACGTCTGAGATGTACCACTGTTCAAGGCAGTCTTGGCAAAGAAGCACTTAAAGGTAGCTTTTAAAATTATATACGCCCTCCTTATAATTGAATTGTCATATAAAAGCATATTGTTGATACTGAAAATGTTTTGTAAGCATGGGATGCCTTTCCTGAGATATTGTGCAGTGAAAAACAAAAGAAAATTTGTAATGGAAAATTGCCAGTTTTGTTTAATGTACTGAAAAGAACACAGTAATATTCCCAGATGATCAGCCTGTCCTCTAAATCACAGGTTACATAAGAGATTTGTGCTGCCAAATTTAGTAGGATTAGAATTTTCCTCAGTACTGCTGAATTCCTATACTGTCCTTGCTGTTCCTGCATATTCGTTGGTCAGAGCTATTACTGAGCTAAGTATAAGCAACATTTTGGTGCAGATTATGGAGAGAAAATAACAGGTTAGCTACAAAAATGTTGCTGTGCCTGTAGCAACCAATCAGATGAAAACTGAACAGGAACTATTGATCTTGTGTCAGGGTGTTCTCACATTCTTCCCTACGTTGTTTTGTTAATCCTACTCTTCCTGCTGCAGAAGCTGGAGTCAGGACCATCCAAAGACAGGCATTTGGCAATATGGTTCCAAAGCATTAGGACTATTTTAATTGTTTACTTGTTTATTCTGTTCCTTCATTATCAGAAGAATAACAAGAAAGACTTTGTCTTATATGTCAGGGATGTCACTGAACCTCTTTGCATTCAGTTTTTCTTGAATATGACCCAGTCTTGCACCACAACCATTTAGCAAAACAAGAGATACACAAGCTTCAAATTCTAAGTCTGTTACACCTACATGCTTGTTCTGTTATCACTCCTATCATCAGCACATCTCTCTGCACTGCCTGAGATTGCACAAATCTTCCAGTTCTGTACTAGCTGAACATTGCTCCACCCAGAGGTGCTTAAGCCAGGACCCTCTGCCAGTCTCACCATCATAATTGTGGGCAAGAGTGATTGAGGCCTTTGTATTATTAGTGGACATAAGAGGTATGTGCAAAAACTAAAAAACACTTAAGCAGCTGCTCAAAGTAGTACAATGAACCATGTTGCTTATTTTCCTAATACAAAGTTGCAAGTTTCCCAAACACAGAAAGATTTCCCAGCAGGAGAGATTCATTATTCATTGAAAGACAGTAAGCCAAGAGCCCAAGTTGTGGCTTTTTACATCTGGAATGACAAAATTTGGTTTATGATAGAGCCTCTATGCTGAGAATAAAGATTCTGGAGCTAATAAAGTCTTTTAAAACCCCCTCAGACAAGCCATTGCTTTCCTTGGATTGAAACTGGGCTTCCTGATCTCCTGTAAGTATGTATGGCCCAAAGATGGGCCCCTTTCTGTCCTTTGCCTTGGATGCTGGAGAATCCAAGAGTGGTTTTTGGGATGTTGCTGCCCAGGCACTGACCTACCAGTTGCTTCCTAGAACTGTCTACTCTGAACACTGGCTCAGCATGGAATCATGAACGTATCTCTTTTGCTTGGGGTTTCTTACCAGATCACTGGTTTAGAAAAAAAAGGTGGCCAGGTGCAAAATGGAATACTGGTGGCAGGAAACTTCATCCTGAATATCATGAGAGAATGAACACATTGCTGCATCACAACTGAGGTTGCTATTAAGCAAAAATATTTTTGCTTTCCCAGTAAGCAGGACTGGTTGAACAATCTGAGCAGGCATGATGACAGCTCTTACAAATAACAGAACCAAATGTTTCTTTTAGTGAGGATTATAGATGTGCCTCATGTGAAGACCAGTTGGTTTTGAACCTTTTGTCTTCCTTCCAAATGTGCTTTTATGGAGGAAGCTGTCATCTGAAATTCATCAGAAACTGATTTTTCATCAGCCTTTATGGATGGGGGACATAGTTCACTTTGCAGAACTTGCATGAGGTATACATGAATTCATCATACCTGGCTAATGCCTGCAGAAAGTGTGAGGTCACTGTTGACAAAGAGTGCTTACTTTGCCCACTCAAGGGCAACAGGAACAGCTGTGTTGAAGGAACCTGGAAGAATTTGAAATCTTGCCAAGCAACCGAAGAAAGATCTGAGTGAAGTGTTCTCCATGTGGGTATTGCTAGTAAAGATTACTTTGTTACATGGTTCACAAAGACACTACTGACACTTTTTTTTTTTTGCCTTGATACCATTCGTTTGTGAAAAATAGCAAGTAGATTTTTCAGGCACTGCTCAACTGGTGAGCAAAGAACTACCTAATTAAGCAGACATTTTCAAACTGGCTTTCTAGTAGAAAACTTCTAAAAACTACTCCTTCCTTTCTGTCTCTCTCTTTTGCACTACAAGATGTGAACTGAACTTACCAATGTTAGTGACTCATTAAGCGTAAGCGCTTCCAGCAGATGCACTTGCTATATGCTCATCTGCCAAGTGCCATTGGGAAAACAAACGTTGAGGAGGGTTTTTTCCTGCCTCATCGTGGTTATGATGATTAAATACCAGTACTGTTAACTGTTTCAGGTCCCATGCAAACAGACAGAACTCACAGTTGCCATTTTCTACTGGCTAATGGGTCTCATCACATGCATCTTAATTTTATCATAATCAGCACAGTCCAGGAAATCATTACTTGCTCTTAATTTTCTGCTACTCCTTTTGCTGCCATAGAAGGTAAAGATTTTAAGTTGATACAGCTCC